GATATCTGATAAGGGGGTTAATTTCCAAAATACATTAAAAAGCTCATACAACTCAATAGCAAAAAATATATATCTTATTTAAAAATTAGCAGAGAATCTGAATGTTTCCAAAGGAGACATACAGATGGCCAACAGGTACATGAAAAAATGCTCAGCTGTCACTAATCATCAGGGAAATGCAAATCAAAACCACAATGAGATATCACTTCACATCTGTTAGAATAGCTGTCATCAAAAAGACAAGAAATAATAAGTGTTGGCAAGGATGTGGAGGAAAAGGGAACCCTTGGGCCATGTTGGTGGGAATATAAACTGGTGCAGCCACAATGAAAAACAGTTTAAATTTCTTCAAAAAGTAAAAAATAGAACTACCACATGACCCAGAAATTCCACTTCTGGGTATTTACTGAAAGAAATCCAAACCACTAATTCAAAAATATATATGCACCTCCATGTATTACAGCATTATTTACAATAGCCAGATGGAAACCTAAGTGTCCACAGAGAGATGAACAAATAAAGAATATGTGATACACACACACACACACACAAACACCCAAATGCATACACATGCACACAATGAAATACTATTCAGCCTTAAAAAGAATAAAAATTTGCCACTTGCGACAACATGGATAGATCTTGAGGGCATTATACTAGGTGATATAAGTCAAAGACAAATACCATATAATCTCACTTATATGAGGAGTCTGACAACAGCAACAAACAATCTCATATACACAGAGAAAAAGATTGGTGGTTGCCAGAGGTGTGGGGTGGATGAGTGGGAGAAATGGGTGAAGAGATTTAAAAGATACAAATTTCCAAATATAAAACAAGTAAGTCATGGGGTAGCAATGTCCACCATGGTGACTACAGTTAATAGTACTGTATTGCATATTTGCAAGTTGCTAAAAAAGTAGATCTTAAAGTTCCCATTACAAGAAAAAAAAAGTCTATAACTATGTATGGTGATGGATTTTAACTAGACTTATTGTGGTGATCATTTTGCAATGTTGACAAATATCAAATCTATATATCATATGTCTGAAAAAATATAATGTATGTCAATTATACCTCAATAAAATAATAATTTTAAAAATCTTAACACAGTTAAAAATACTAAGTAATCAAATAATTCTATCCCCTGCCCCCCTTTTGACACATACCCCCTATAGCCCTCTATCCTCCTGTTCTAATGTGAAATGGCTGATTTCTCGGCTGATATAGCTGTCACCCTGGAATGCTTCTGGACAGCCCTTCATCATCTTTCTGGGATCTGTTTTAAATTCTCTTGTTTGAATGTCCTGTTTCCTCAATCCTGTTGTCATTCTTTTTCTTACTTTACTCCCTTGTTTTACTGGAGCATATCCTTGAGTAGCTTCCTGTAAACAGATGCAGGGAAGGTAAACTTGTTGAGACCCTGTGTAAATGTAAGGTATTTACTTTGTGCTTGCTCTTGACACAAACTATTCTATGGCTAACTATAAATTTCTAAGTTGAAAGTAATGCATTTAACTTGTCTCCTAGTTTTTAATGTTGCTACTGAGAAATCCCATACGAACTATATTTGAGCTGTTTTTCTCTCTGAAAGCTTTTAGGACTTCCTCCTCATCCATGCTGTTCTAAAATTATAAATTTACATTTCTTAATCTGAAGTTAATATTTTTTCCTTTCATTTATCATGTAAGTGTTGGGTGGGACTTTCCAATCTGAAAGTTCTATAGTTCTGGGAAATTTTCTTATATCATTTGTTTAATGATTTTCTTTTCTGTTTTCTCTGTTCTCTTTCTGACATTCCTATTAGTTGATGTTGAACCTGCTGGACTGATTTAATTCTTTTTAAGTCTTTCCTCTCCTACTTTTACATTTTTTTCTATCTTCCAGAAGAGTTCCTCAATGCTGTCTTTCAACCTTTTATCAAATTATTTTTTCTATCTCATTTATAACTTCTAAGATTTTTTTCATTCTCTAATTATTACTTTAACATAGCACTTGCCTCTTGTTTTGTGAATAAAACAACCATTGCAAGATATCTCTATGTCATGAATTATAAAGTTTGTAGTCTCTGTTTCCTCCAAATGTGTTTTCTGTTGCTGTTGCTAAGGCCTTTTGTAACAGAGACTCTCCTGAGATGTGCAGGGATCCTCACTTTCCTTTCTTATTTTAGAGTAAAACAGCTACATGTAGTTGGATGGAGCTTGACGACAGGCACAACTCACTAACAGTTAATGAGCAGAACCCAACCATTTGGGGCTAGACCCCCAACTCCCAGATCTACTGGCCTTCTTCTTAGTCTAGATGGCTTCCTCAGAGTGGCTTCTTCAAACACTTGACTAAGAAGATAGAAAAGCCTTGAAGGGTAATGAGGCTAAGGGTGTTCCTATTTAGTATGCAGCCTTATCCCCTGTCCTAGGCTACACCTTATAAACTAAAACCCAGAGCTCACCTTCACCGAAGAGTAAACCTCCCATATTCCACCAGGTAGAAAAGGCCAGACTCTGGTTGTACAGAGCTGGGGAAAGGATCCAAAGAGGCAACGGCAATTCTTCTATTCAAATCTATTTCCCAGCCATCAGAAGTATCCAGAACCTCCCCTTCCTGGGTCTCTGGTGTTCTGAGGTATGACAGGGCCACATTCTCCTGCTCGCACCACCGCTCTCCACCATATTCAGGAGATTGGGTCTCAGCCTCATTCCATTTGCCGTCAGTTACCTTTCATCCGTCCTCTTTCCAGCTTCTAAAACTTTGTAGGTGACCCTTCCCCGCTGCCATTGTCCATTTAGTTGTCCCTTGTAGGCTGCCATCCTCTCTAGCCCTTTACTATTATATTATTAACATTTCAGGAGCAACCAGAAATAAGTGGTATGCTCAAGCCACCATGCTACACAGCAGAGTACTGTGGAGCTATACATTTTTCCCTGAGCACACCCTGTTTTCATTTACACCCCTAACTCTGATCTTGGTGTTTCCCTGCCTGGTCTGCCCCTATCTCTCTCCTTCTTCAATTTTCCAACCGTTATTGGTCCTTCAAAATTAAGCTCAGGCACCACCTTCAGCAGGAATCTTTCCCAGATCTTCCTGAACATGCTATGCATACTCTGGCCTGATACACACCATACAGACCACACTGCGCTTAATTAATCTGCCTGCACATCTGTCTCCCTCGCTAAACAAATAGTAAGTAGGCAAGAACTGTGTCTTATCCTATGTTCTGCCTCTAGTGTGGGAAAAAGCATCAGGTACATAACAGGTGCTCAGTAATATTTGTTCAACGGATCCATTTCCAGTAGCTCTGTGATGGAAGCATTTTTATTCTCATAGGAGTGAAAAAATATATGACTGTTTGTTTGCCAACATCCAAATAAGGAAGGCTAATCAAAGAGTACCAGAAAATGAAAACAGCCAGATGTTTTTGAGAGCCAAAGTCCAGGAATACAAAACAGCTTCCAACAGGGGTGATGTATGTTTTCCTAGTGATTCAAATGAATACATGCTTATTAGGCAGGGAGAGAGATTTCACAGGTTCCTCCGCCAATCATGTAATTTTAAATCCATTTAAGATAATTTTCTTTATCTCGAATTTATTTTTCTCAGTAACCAGGATACTTAACTGATTTGTACAAAACCCATTTGAAAAAGAAATAATCTGCTCTAAACAAGGGTACACTCACAGAAAACAAAAAATCTGTTTGAGAGGCCAAGGCGAACTCCTGCCTAGAAAATAGGTTTTCCTCCAGCATCTTGATTCTATGGACAATTTCTTTCCTCTATTTCACAAGAAGAAAACAAATAATTTTTAAATCAGAGCATACAGAACAAAGACCTTCCAGAAGACAATCAAGATGCAAACAAATTTTAAAAGCCAAGAATATCAGACAAAACAGCATAAGCAGAAACAGCCATAGGATGACTTTCTCACCTATCAGCTTGGCAAAATGGTTTTTAAATGGACGCACCCAGTTTTAGAAGGTCACGTAAAATTCCCAAAGGAGTACAGATTGCTACAAACTTTCTGGAGGGAAATATCACAATAAGTGTCTAGAGTCTCCAAAAATATTCCTAGAATGTGATCTAAGGATAAAGAACTTATATGCATATATGCATAACCAATGGACACAGACAATAGTGTGGGGGAGGCGGGGGCGGTGCAGGAGCAGGGAGAGGGGTCAATGGGGGGAAGAAGGGGACATCTGTAATACTTTCAACAATAAAGATAAACTTTTAAAAATGGATTATACTTTTAGAAGTATGAATTAAGAAAATAAATATCCAATCAATATACATAAAGACTTGAATGGGAAGATATTCATCAATGTGTTATTTATAATTTATAGTGAACAATTAAATAACCGAAATCCTGAACAATGGAAATAATGATCATAATAACATCAGAAAAGGCTCATGACATTATGTTAAATAAAAAAAAAAGAGATAAAACAATACATCATATGCTCATTATCTGTAGAGAATACAGACTCAAAGACAATATACTAGGATTTACCAGTTATTATCTATAAGTAACGAGATCGTGGTGATTTCTGTTTTTTTAATTGAAAACTTTTTGTATTGCAGAACTTTCTATAGGTTTTCGGGTAACATTTATAAAAATTAAAATCTTTTTTTTTTTCTTTCTTGACTTTTCTGAGAGAGAGAGGAAGTGAGAAGGAGAGAGAGATAGAAACATTGATGAGAGAGGACATCGATTGGCTGCCTCCTGCATGCCCCCCACTGGGGATCAGGCCCACAACCTGGGCATGTGTCCTGACCGGGAATTGAACTGGCGACCTCTTGATGCGTGGGTTGATGCTCGACCACTGAGCCACACCAGCCAGGCAAAAAAATTAAAATATTTTATTTAGCTAATATTTCATAATCAATGTTTTATTGCTTGTGGAGGAGACTGAGGTAGAAGCTCCCTCACTGGTTACAAACAACATGAAGAAATGGCACAGCCTGGGTTCAAGCAAGCTCCTCTGAACGGTGGAACCAGAACTTACTTGGTGGGACGATAATCCGGAATGGAACGATCCAGTGATATTTTTTCACTGAGGTAGGAATTGTAGCCATACTTTTCATGCGGTCCCTTGGCTTTCTCCTCTTCAGCTGGGGACAGGGTGGCAGGAAGACCCCCTTTGCCCCGCCCACCATAACCTTCAATGAGCCCAAGGGATTTGGATAAGCCTAGAAAAAGGAGGGGGAAAAGAAAGAATTATTTGAAAACCACCATACCAGGATATGTCATTCAAGCTCAGATCCAGCTTCAGTGGACATTTTAACATTACCTGCCACAGAAAAAAATTATGTTTCATTTCAACAGTCTTGGGAATAGGCTCTGAACACATTTACACTGCGAGGAGGGCAAGACAACCGTGAGCTGTGGGATTCGGTGCTGTTACCTAAACTCTCCCCCTTGGTGAGAACTGGGGTCTCTAAAAGAGAGTGGGGGCCTACTGGGAGAAAGGGGACACAGGAGGACACAGGAAATGGGGCAGACCGGGGCCATTACTCATGCCTGTTTTCCCCTCTCCGAGGGGCTATGACAGCAGGCCAGCTGGGCCAGGCGACGACCCACACAACGGGTAGGAGTGGTAACGGGAAAATGCCCAAATGCAGTTGTTTTTACTTCATTTGAACGAGAACGATATCCAGATCGATTTTATCATGAGTTTAAATTGTGTAACAGCCCGACACGCTTCTTTACCTAACAGTTTTATTTAAATTTCATCTAAATTGCAAAGGAAATACGAAATGCTTGAGAATAAATCACGGAGGAAAAGAAAAAAACCGTGAGGGTGGTAAATGTGCCAAACAGAGAAGGAGGCCCCGGTAACAAGCCTCACTGAGCAACTGCGGGTTCCCGGATGGTGGCAGCTTTATAACTGTTGTTGCATTAGACAATAAACAGCTTGATGGACATTTTTAAATCCTAGAGTTATGGGAGGTTTTACTGCTCGGCTAGAAAACTTTTGTTGTTAAGGGCTCTCATTCCCTTTGGCCATTTCAAATGCTCAAGGTACTCAGTACACACACACACACACACACACACACACACACAAGTATATACGCACACACACACACACAAGTATATACATACACATGTGCACACACAGGTATATACGCACACGCGCGCACACACACACACACAAGTATATACGTACATGCGCACACACACACAAGTATATATGTACACGCGCGCATACACACAAGTATATACGCACACACGCACACACACACACACACACACCGTGCAGGACTCTATGTACAAGAGTCTCACAGCTGCCACTGGCAAGCAGACCACAGACTGGGTTGTGGAAGCTCCCTCAGCCTACGGGACAGCCCACCTCACTGAGGAGGAACCACACCGCCCAGAAGGGCGTCCTCAGGCAAGTCCAAGGCCCACAGCTCTGCCCCAGTCACAGGTCCTCTAGCACATAATGGCAAGACTTGTGTTCATCGCCTTTCCTGCTTCTTTCAAAACAGGAATCTACTTTCTGTGATATCAAGATCAGAAAGTAATTAGAGATATAAAGGAGGACGGACCAGGGTTCTGGGTGTAGTCAGAGATGCAAAGGAGGACGGACCTGGGCTCCGGGTATAGTCAGAGATACAAAGGAGGACGGACCTGGGTTCCGGGTGTAGTTAGAGATGTAAAGGAGGACGGACCTGAGTTCCGGGTGTAGTCAGAGATGTAAAGGAGGACAGACCTGGGTTCCGGGTATAGTCAGAGATGTAAAGGAGGACGGACCTGGGTTCCGGGTGTAGTTAGAGATGTAAAGGGGGACGGACCTGGGCTCTGGGTGTAGTCAGAGATGTAAAGGAGGATGGACCTGGGTTCCGGGTGTAGTCAGAGATGTAAAGGAGGACGGACCTGGGTTCCGGGTGTAGTTAGAGATGTAAAGGGGGACGGACCTGGACTCTGGGTGTAGTCAGAGATGTAAAGGAGGACGGACCTGGGTTCCGGGTGTAGTCAGAGATGTAAAGGAGGACGGACCTGGGTTCCGGGTGTAGTCAGAGATGTAAAGGGGGACGGACCTGGGCTCCGGGTGTAGTCAGAGATACAAAGGGGGACGGACCTGAGTTCCGGGTGTAGTTAGAGATGTAAAGGGGGACGGACCTGGGTTCCGGGTGTAGTCAGAGATGCAAAGGGGGACGGACCTGGGCTCTGGGTGTAGTCAGAGATGTAAAGGAGGACGGACCTGGGTTCCGGGTGTAGTCAGAGATACAAAGGGGGACGGACCTGGGCTCTGGGTGTAGTCAGAGATGTAAAGGAGGACGGACCTGAGTTCCGGGTATAGTCAGAGATACAAAGGGGGACAGACCTGAGTTCCGGGTGTAGTTAGAGATGTAAAGGGGGACGAACCTGGGCTCTGGGTGTAGTCAGAGATGTAAAGGAGGACGGACCTGGGTTCCGGGTATAGTCAGAGATACAAAGGGGGACAGACCTGAGTTCCGGGTGTAGTTAGAGATGTAAAGGGGGACGGACCTGGGCTCTGGGTGTAGTCAGAGATGTAAAGGAGGACGGACCTGGGTTCCGGGTGTAGTCAGAGATGTAAAGGAGGACGGACCTGGGTTCCGGGTGTAGTCAGAGATGTAAAGGGGGACGGACCTGGGCTCCGGGTGTAGTCAGAGATACAAAGGGGGACGGACCTGAGTTCCGGGTGTAGTTAGAGATGTAAAGGGGGACGGACCTGGGTTCCGGGTGTAGTCAGAGATGCAAAGGGGGACGGACCTGGGCTCTGGGTGTAGTCAGAGATGTAAAGGAGGACGGACCTGGGTTCCGGGTGTAGTCAGAGATACAAAGGGGGACGGACCTGGGCTCTGGGTGTAGTCAGAGATGTAAAGGAGGACGGACCTGAGTTCCGGGTATAGTCAGAGATACAAAGGGGGACGGACCTGAGTTCCGGGTGTAGTTAGAGATGTAAAGGGGGACGGACCTGGGCTCTGGGTGTAGTCAGAGATGTAAAGGAGGACGGACCTGGGTTCCGGGTGTAGTCAGAGATACAAAGGGGGACGGACCTGGGCTCTGGCTGTAGTCAGAGATGTAAAGGAGGACGAACCTGGGTTCTGGGTGTAGTCAGAGATACAAAGGGGGACGGACCTGGGCTCTGGGTGTAGTCAGAGATGTAAAGGAGGACGGACCTGGGTTCCGGGTGTAGTCAGAGATACAAAGGGGGACGGACCTGAGTTCTGGGTGTAGTTAGAGATGTAAAGGGGGACGGACCTGGGTTCCGGGTGTAGTTAGAGATGTAAAGGAGGACGGACCTGGGTTCCGGGTGTAGTTAGAGATGTAAAGGGGGACGGACCTGGGCTCTGGGTGTAGTCAGAGATGTAAAGGAGGACGGACCTGGGTTCCGGGTGTAGTCAGAGATGTAAAGGAGGACGGACCTGGGTTCCGGGTGTAGTTAGAGATGCAAAGGAGGACGGACCTGAGTTCCGGGTGTAGTTAGAGATGTAAAGGGGGACGGACCTGAGCTCTGGGTGTAGTCAGAGATACAAAGGGGGACGGACCTGGGCTCTGGGTGTAGTCAGAGATGTAAAGGAGGATGGCCCTGGGTTCTGGGTGTAGTTCGAGATACAAAGGAGGATGGACCTGGGCTCTGGGTGTAGTCAGAGATGTAAAGGAGGACGGACCTGGGTTCTGGGTGTAGTCAGAGATGTAAAGGAGGACGGACCTGGGTTCTGGGTGTAGTCAGAGATGTAAAGGAGGACGGACCTGGGTTCTGGGTGTAGTCAGAGATGTAAAGGAGGATGGACCTGGGTTCTGGGTGTAGTCAGAGATGTAAAGGAGGACGGACCTGGGTTCTGGGTGTAGTTAGAGATACAAAGGAGGACGGACCTGAGTTATGGGTGTAGTCAGAGATGTAAAGAGGAGGAGGGACCTCGGTTCTGGGTGTAGTTAGAGATGTAAAGGAGGACGGACCTGGGTTCTGGGTGTACTTAGAGATATAAAGAGGAGGAGGGACCTCGGTTCTGGGTGTAGTTAGAGATGTAAAGGGCAGACCTGAGTTGGTGACAGAAAAGGTGACCATTTCAAGAGCACTTGCAGCAGCCCAGACAAGGGATGGGAGGGGTCCCCGTTAAGGCAGTGGTGGTGATCAAACAGAGAGGAGTGATTTGAGAAATATTTAAGAGATACGTCACAAGGCAGGAGACGGACAAGTGTAGGTAAGAGAAAGAGAAGAAGTGAGTGAGATCGGGGTTTCCAGGGGGAGGACTGCGTGGTCAAACCACTCACAGGAGGGCATACAGAAGAAAGTCTGGGAAGAGGAGTTCTGTTCTCTACATGTGGTAGAGGGGCATCCCTGGGACATTCACATAGGATCAGATGTCCCGTCCGGGCTGGAACATACGAGAATGGAAGTTCAGACAGCAGAGGAGGCCTGAGACATGAACCTGGCACCGTTGGCAAGGAGGTCGCCATGATAAAGGATGGGGGTTAACGGGCGGGGGGTGGTGTTGAGCAGCCAGAAGGAGAAAGAGACACTGCTCAGGATGTGTTCTCTGCGCACACGCCTCATGTACACTTCCACCATGTCTAGGGTAGGAATCGCACACTTCAAAGCTTGTTTCTTCTCTGCTCCACATTCACGTTCTATCATCAAAGCTGCATTTGAAGCTCAAGACTTCAAGGAAATGAGACAAAGAATTACAGAAACATCTCGATATGGACCAAGTGGTTAAGCGTCCTGCTTGTCTTTGTAAATCCATCTGACCCCTCTCTCTCCACCCAGTGATGATGATTGTTTAGGCTTTCGTTGTTTTCAATGCTTCTATCTCCATTTTTCTATTAGACACTCAGGGTAGATAGGATCATGTTTACGTCAGAGATGAAGAAACAGTCTCAGAAGGATTCGTTATTTGACCATCCCAAAGTAATGGAGACAGATTGCGATGTTCCTTCCAACCCTCAACACACACACAGATCCTCTATCCAGGAAATTCTGTAGGAAAGGAGAGCCCAACATTGAAAACATCATGAAGAATGGTAAATAAATGGTAGTGGGCTATTAAGAAGAATACTATACAGCAGTGAAAATGAATGGCTTACAGATAAATGGATGAATAGCACAGACTCAATGTAAAGCAAAAGTAAACATCAAAAATGCATATAATTCCATTTACACAAAGTTTCCAAAACTAATCAGATAGAGACATAAGCTTACGTAGTGAAACTATGAACATCCACAATAAAC